TCTTACCACACATGATTATCATCGTTGTTGATATTAGTATTATCAAATAATGTCATTATTATAGTTTGTTTTTTGACTGGAAAGTGTTGACTAATGATAATTTATTGTTTCATTTCATATGCGGTATTTGAGTTGAGTTTTTGGATTCTGTAATTTGTCTGATCTCTTTTTTTCCTTTTATTTTTAAACTCTCTTTTCTTTCCAGACGGATAAGTCAGTGCCTAACACTTTGATCATAGCCAATTGTGACGTGGTGAAGCCCAGGGTTGCAGCAGAAAATCACATTGCAAATGTAAGGATGTTTTACTATTTAATTTTTCTTAGTTATACTCTAAATCAATCATAATGACTGGTTTTTTAATGGCTTGGTTCTAGTTCAATGAAGAAGCACGCTCGCCATTTGTGAAGAAGTACAAAACCATAATACACCCAGGAGAGGTAAGAACTGCGTGAACACTGGAAAAAATACTGAGTCTGCACGTTCATAGACAAACTAAGTTAACTACTGGCTCAGTGGCTCTTGATACAATGTTGTATTAGGTTCCTTTGCTGTTGCCTGCTGAATTTGATATTGCTCTTATGCAAATTATTTTATACAAAGTACACTTCGTGTCTACATGCTGTAATCAGAATAATACAGTTTCCTACATTTTCTCTAGAGAAAACAGGACAAGAACTTCTATTTGCTTAATATTTTAATGATATCTCTTTGTGGAACCAAATGGATATGCCACTTCCATGCCTCTTTTTTGTTTTTAACTTGAAAAGTGTGCTCCAATATTCTAGAAGTATCTTTTAGAAGCTGTAATTTTACTTTCAAATTCCTTCCAGCCCCAACCATGTTACTCTTCATTTTGACAAGGAACACAAATGCAGCGAATACAAGTCTATACCACAGAATTAAAAATGAAAAAAAGAAAGAAAGAATACTTGATGTTTGAGAATATCGAATAGTTTTGATTATGTGCTTATTCTTTCTTATGCTTCTTCTGTGATATAATGCATGTAGCTGATGCTATTGAGAACAAAAGGAAAATAGTTATTCATTCCTTGTCTACATATTTTTGCATTGCCAATTTCCTACTGAATTTCCATTTCTTGATTGTACTGCATTTGAGGGCATTAGATTGGCTCTTTAGGGTGTAAGGTTTGAGTTCACGCTGAATTTTCAATCCTATAACTTTCTATGTGTCATAGTAAAGTTGAGATTTAATTGCATTTGTTGTTATGTGCTTTATGCAGAGGAGTGCTTGAATTAAACAAAGTTTGAATAAAGAAGCTAAAAAAAGACAGATGTTTTACATATTTACCTTGTTGCTTGTGACATTCTATGAAGAAGAATACTTCGTGAAACTTATTTGAGATTAGTCTCTTGGATAAAAAAATATGCAGTTTGGTTCTCCGGAGAGGAATTCTGATTGAATTTGTATTTGGTATACCTCTTCAGGTTAACAGAATCAGAGAACTCCCACAAAACAAAAACATAGTGGCAACCCATACTGATGGTCCTGAAGTAAGTGGCGTCTTAAGGTGTTCTGTGACAGTCTTTTGTAAAGTCACTGTGGCGTCTTTCTATTTTAGGCATGTCAATACTTTTTAATTGGTAAAAGTTTGTTATTCGTGCATCTAGGTTCTCATTTGGGACATTGAAGCTCAGCCCAATAAACATGCTGTCTATGGTGCTGCTGCTTCGCGTCCGGATCTGGTCAGTACTCTTTCTCGAAGCTTTTCATTGATTGATCTATATTTTGGGTGATTTTCATTATGTTCATCACTCATCTTACCTCCTTGGTGGATTTCATAACTTTTTTGCTTGTGGAATGTGCGGTAATCTTTGACCCATTGCCTGTCAACTGCCACCAGCAATTTGATTTGGCAGATCTTAATCTATAGATCAACCTTTTTGAGTAACATTAATTGTCCTTGCAGGTATTGAGTGGACATCAAGACAATGCAGAATTTGCTCTGGCACTGTGCCCAATGGAACCCTTTGTACTCTCTGGAGGTTTGAAGTTCTCTTCTTTTAGATGTCTAAAGTCAATATTTTTCATCTAGTTATATTTAGAATCAGGTATCTGCATTGCCATCTTGTATTCCAAATTAAACATTATCTGATCAGATTCAGCTTTGGATATGTAAGGTTCATAAATTGAACTTGTGCTAGTAGTCCAAGTATTGAGAATTATATTAAGATCTTTGATTCTTTTGGTCTGATGTTGCATTCCTTACAATGTTATCTGTAGCCTATTTATTGAATATAGTGGTAGAAAAGTAATTTAGCCACTTCTGGTATCTTCTCATTAGAGGTAATTTTCTATCAGGAAAGGACAAAACTGTGGTATTGTGGAGCATTCAAGACCACATTTCAACATTGGCAGCAGATGCAACCAAGCCTGCTGGATCAGCTGGCTCTATAATTAAGTCTGCTGATAATCCATCTATTGGTCCACGTGGTATCTTCCAGGGCCATGAGGATACAGTTGAAGATGTTCAGTTTTGCCCTTCAAGGTAATGTCAACTTGAATGGTTAATTTCTTTGCTGGATCCCATGGTAGGTTGTCTAGGTAGTTTTTTTCTTCTAAGGATGTAGTGAGGTTTATAAATTAGGCTTTCAGGTTATTGAAGTTTCTGCTGGTAAATGTTTCTTAATTTTGTTTCTTCTTTGTCAATCATCCACTTCTACTGAGTTATCCTCCAGGAAGAGAAATATAAGAAATTGTCCCGATGCCCTAAGCTTCACCTGTTACTTCCCATTTGCTTCGTCATCATGTTCTTGCTACATCCTCTTTTGTTCCCTTCGGATTTTAGGTAGTTTTAAGAAACTGAAACAATTAAGGTTGCATTGATCAGTTCTGGCGTTGATATTTAAGTTCTTGTGTCGGACGCTTTCGAAGAACATTGTGGAGTTACTGAGAAAGACCAAAGATAAGCTAAGGTTCTGCGACTAGTGTACTTCTGAAAGGGTGAATAAGTATTTAAAGTGCAGGATTAACATGTTTAAAAGTATCTGATAAGTCTTCTGAAACTGAAATTTTCTTTTGACCTTCATGAAGTTCACAGGAATTTTGTAGTGTTGGTGATGATTCATGCCTCATATTGTGGGATGCTCGAGTTGGTAATAATCCTGTTGTGAAGGTATGATGATTACTTTCTTGATTGTTTAGTGGAAAATTTTGTCTTTGTATGGGATTGCTAATAATGTAGAGATAGGTAGTATATAGGCCGAATATCTTTTCATGCTCTTTTCATGTGGTATTGATAACTGATTTTGATTCACGCTAGCCTTATAATGGTGTCTTGTCNGATGGTGGACAAACTAAGCGACGAGTACTAACTGCATACTACTATATCCTGGAAACTTAAAATCTGTGGGGTGAAATATTTTTGGTCTTTTTCTCCCCTTGGGTGAGTGGGCAAGCAATCAGCTTCTGATACTTTTTCAAGTTCGGTTCATTGACAAGCAATTGTCATGTAAATAATGTGTCTCCCCATCATATATCTGTTACTGTTGCAATTACTATCGTTCCTGATTTTTTCTGGTTTGGCCTAGGGATAAAATTGTGGACTTTCACTGGAATGCATCGGATCCATGGACTATTGTTAGCGTATCTGATGACTTGGAGACCTCTGGTGGAGGCGGCACACTACAGGTTTCATATTCATGTTCTGCGATTTTCAGTGTAATTTAATTTGCCTCTAATCGTTAAATTGGGTCTTAAACAGATATGGCGCATGAGTGATTTGTTGTACCGACGGGAGGAGGAAGTTTTGGCTGAGCTGCAACAGTTCAAGGACCATGTGAGCAAGTGCGCTCCCAAGCCCTAGGCCTGAGGTATTTTTACAAAAGAAATGTAATAGTAGGCACTAGAGTACACCATATGAGTTAGCAGTATCTGTAATAGTTGAATGGATTTAGCTTTTGGACTATTGATGTTTGCCCGTAGCAAAATATGTAGGAGCTATGCTTGGAGTTATTATAAGCCAGTAGACGGTAAGCAGTAAAGTAGCCGAGACTGTAGAGCATGATGTTGTATGTATTGTGTGGTATTTTGCTACTTGGATGTTTGACGTTCTTATATTGTGAAATCCTGCTGTGTTCTGTTTGGGTTTGAACCCCAGAAGTTACATCCATTCTCGGCGAAACAGCCATAAAACCTTATGTTCAGTGGGTACTCCTTTCAGTTCTATTTATTTTATCACTTTTGCTAAAAATAATTGTATCAAAATCCTTGTTTTAGATAATCAATATTGATTACTCCATATTTTTTCCGTTTTAACTTACTAGTCTAATTAATGTTCTAATAAAATAAGAGTAATTTAGTCAAATAGCTCTAACTATTAATGTTTCTTAAAGTTTTTGCAAAAGACTTAAGTGACAAGTAAATAGGATAGTAGGTAATTGGTATTTGGTTAGGAAGCTAGGATCTTAAATGGTGGCAATTTTAGATCCGAAGGTCATTTGTACTTTTTACATGTCATTAAATCACCATTAAGGCAGCATTAAATAATTGAACCAACTCGTCCAACCACAATTTTATTAAACTAAGTGCCACATAGAAAGGGACAACACGTTTATGTCGATCATAATAAGCAACAACCTAGCATTTGGTGGCAATAACATTCGTCTCATATAGAATTGCAGCTGCCGTTATCATGGTCAAAATGGTGCAGATAGAATTTTATTCAACAACCTGGAATTCTCTGTTTCATTAATGAAAAGATTTTATTTGCAAAACAAGTGTGTCCTTCGGTCAAAAAATTATACTACGCATAAGGTAAAATATTATTTGTTATTGATTAAAAATAGACTTTGAATATCCTTGTATAGTTCACTGGCAAAAGGTGTTCAAAATTTGAATACCCTTTATTGAATTTTCTGTTTTCGCCACTGACGTTGTATGCTATGCACTACCAAAAAGTGAAAATTGTCTCTTATGTCTACTAACAATTTGAACAGAAAAAAATAACCTTACAAATATCTCTCGGTGACAAAAAGAGCTTGCCACTTCCCATATGGTGTCCCAACTCCCAAGTGTTTGCAAATGCCTCGTCTCTAATGACACGTCACCATCTTTGTAGGCAAGGGCATAGCCTAAATTAGAGAAGTGAATTTGAAAAATGCTAAAAGTCACGGTTGAGATAAATTCCTAGTTAGACTTAACAATAGTTTCTCTTTTTCCATACACCAAAACTCTTTGGCCTTGAGCTCACAACTTTTAATTAGGATCTATTAGCCAAGGTTAATAAGGCTTACATTGCGTTAGCACAGGTTTAATCAGCTATTGAATGAACAATTAATGTTGCTTGCTACCCCGTCTCAAATTATCTGTCGTGATTTTTAAAAATAATTATCTCAAATTATTTATCATTTTTGAAACTCAAGACAAATTAATTATTTTTTTCTATTTTATCCTTAGTATTAATTGTTCTTGAAGACTACAAACACCTCAATTATAGGGTAGTATTATAATTGTCCAAATACTAATAAGATATAAATAATGATAAAATAGTAAAAAAATAGGAGTACCTCCTAGTTATTATTTTCTTAAGGGGTGCACAAAATAAAAAGATAGACAAATAATTTGAGACGGTGAAGTAATTTCATCTATAATGTGTATTCTCCATGTGGGAGGATGAAAAAAGGATGAAAAGAAGAATATTTTCCTTGTTGACTAAAGGCCTACAATGTGTACTTATAATCCAAATCTTCTGATTTTGCAGCTTTGCTTTCTTCTAGTAAAGGACAGAAAAAAAAGTAAATTCTGATTTTGACTTTGCGTACGTTATAGATGCAAAGTTGTACTGAATGAGTACACCACCGGTTGCTTCCTGGAAATTTCAGAAGTCACTTTTTCGGGTTTTCCCTTTGTCCTACCAAAAGCATATTGCTTCCCTCGGTCATTTTAATGGGATGCTATTTTGGTCAAGTTCAAAATAATTAGGGCAGCATAATATTGATGCTAAAAAGTTATGTAATAGTGGAGAAATTAGTGTGATAAAATTTGAATTACTTATTGAATTTGAACTCTCAAAAATAGCATCAAATATTTTGTAATTTCAAAAAATGATAGTAGTATCATGTAAATTGAAATGAAAAGAGTAGTGTAAAGAAGGTTTATATTGAAGTAAAGATTTAACATTATTTTTGATAAGTAAACAACGTAAAAATTGCATGGGGCGACCAAAATTGCATGGGGCGCCCTATTTGGTCGCCCCTTTTTAACCTGTACCTGCTTTGTTTTTCTGTTTGCATCCGTACCCTTTTTTTTGTTAAAAGCCTTTTAAAAAGACGATTTTGTCCTTTATTAAAAGACTACTTTCTCTCCAAATATACGCCATTCTACTGTCTCTGTCTCTCTTCTCCCGTTCTTCGCGTTTTTTGATTTGTTTCTCTCTGAAATCAAACGGTTTTCGATTCTTCTTGATTTTTCAACTGTTTGTTCCCCAATAACATTACGTTTAATCACAGGTACATTGCATTAACTTTGATTAGTGCATTAGTTTTCTAGGTTTTACTTTTACAATTATGTTTTTAGGTTTTTTGAACGTGTGTTTGTGTTTTTGATAAAAATTCTATAAATTCTTCAGTGATTTTTGGATACTTTGATATTTTTAACAATTTTGAGAGTAAAATAGATGATGCTATTAAAGTGTGAAGTTTATAATACTCCAATGATAACTTAATTCTTGGAGCTGAAGTTTTATTTTGTGTTTTGTATTTTTGTGTTTTTGTTATATTATTTTATGAACTTCAGCATTATTTGGAGTTGAATTTGTGTTCTGTATTTGTAACTTCAGCATTTCTAGGAGCTGAAGTTTTGTTTTGTATTTGCTGAACTTCGAGTTTTTGCTAAAGTTTTTGTTTTGTAACTGTTGAACTTTGTGAACTTTCAATATTCTAGGAGCTGAAGTTTTATTTTATATTTGCTGAACTTCACCATTCTAGGAGCCATGCCAAGACTGTTACAGTTTTTGCTGAAGTTTTTGTTTTGTAACTATTGAACTTCAGTATTATAGTCCTGAAGTTTTTATTTTTGAGTTTGTTGAACTTCGAGTTTATGCTGAAGTTTTTGTTTTGTAATTGGTGAACTTTCAGCATTCTAGGAGCTGACATTTTATTTTGTATTTGCTGAACTTCAACATTTAGGAGCTGAAGTTTTTGTTTTATATTAGCTGAACTTCAGCCTTCTTAGACCTGAAGTTTTAACTGATTATTTTTGATAATGTTCTGACGTTATTTTTCCTATCTTTTATTTTTTTTGAACAGATAGCATCTACGAATCCTAAAGCACCTAAAGCACGTAGAATACGTAAATCTCCTTCAATCCCTATTGCTCTACCTACAAAGCCAGGGGACAGATATTATGAGTTTGGAGATTGGTTTAACTGTCGTGCTTACTGGAAGGGGAACAACAGATTGAAGCATTATATTGCAACTTTCTTGACTCCTACACAACAGCAGAAGCTGAATAATGGTACATTTCGGTATATTATGGCTATGGAGAGTTTCCATTGCAGCATGAAGTTGGTTCATTGTTTGATTCATTCTCACGTATTCACCAATGATCGAGACTCCATTAATTTCAAGATTTTTGGTCATAATATGTCGTTCAGTCTTGAAGACTTTCATATTATGTGCGGTTTGAGGATCACAACACATAATGTTGAAAAACCAGTTAAACAAGAGAGCAAGATTCTGAAACGCTATTTTGGCAAGTCTAAGGGTGTGACCTTGAAGGACATTCGATATTATATGACCCAAAATAAAATTCAAAAGGATGATGTGAATTTCAAACGCGTATGCGAGAGTGATGAAGATGCTGTGAAGCTTATGGAAATTCTTGTTGTGGAGTCTGTTTTGTTTGGAAATAAGAATGAATCAACTGTGTCGGCGGATTATGCAGCTATTGTTGAAGACGATAAGGTTCGTGTTGATTATCCTTGTGGTAATGCGTCTTATGAGAAGCTCATTACCTCAATGAAATATTCTTTGGACAACCAGGACAAAAAGAAACCAACTAAGCATATTGTAGATGGATTTTCATTTCCACTATGTGTTTGGTTCTATGGGCGCTTCCCAGATATTCGGGAGAAGTATTTAAAAGAGGAAGACTTCCTTGATGCCCCTTAAGTTCCCAGGATGTTACATTATGTATCTTTGGGAGATCCTAAATATAAAGAACTTTATGAGGATTACTTTAATAATCATGGTGTAAGTTAATATTTTTTATTTTCCTTTTTTTTCTGTAGTTGTGTTAATATGTTGACGTATCAGTTTTATTTTATTTTTATAATATATTTTTTTGTATTAAACAGAAATATCAGACATTTAGGATAATGGATATAATTCCTACCGAAGAGGAATTGAATTCAATGCCTTTAATTGGACAATTACCATGCAACCAGATTCGTTCAAAGGTACTGAATCCGGTTCCATCAACTGGTGAATCACCACGTAGTCGGAGTTGATCAAAATAAGTCAATCGAACTCTTGTAATTGGTGAATCATCACGTAGTCGGAGTTTATCAAAAGAAGCCAATCAAACTTTTGTAATTGGCGAATCAGCTCGTACCCAGAGTCGTTCTAACCGTTCTACAATGGCGTTTGACAATGATGAATTAGTCAACACAATATGTCGTGTAAGTTTTGAGCTGAAGTTTTTGTATTTTGTAAAACTACAGCATGTTTTAGCTGAAGTTCTATGTTCTGTTTGTGATGAACTTCAACATTCTAGCAACTAAAACTTTGTTCTGTATTTGCTGAACTTCAGCATATTTTTAGCTGAAGCTTTGTTCTGTATTTTGCTGAACTTCAGCATGTTCTAGCTGAAGCTTTGTTCTGTATTTGCTGAACTTCAGCATATTTTTAGCTGAAGCTTTGTTCTGTATTTTGCTGAACTTCAGCATGTTCTAGCTGAAGCTTTGTTCTGTATTTGCTGAACTTCAGCATATTTTAGCTGAAGTTTTGTTATGTGTTTGCTGAACTTCAGCATTTTTCTAGACCTGAAGTTTTGTTCTGTGTCTCTATACTAGAGGGTAACGAGGGAGGTTAAAAGACATGCAGAGGAAGAAAGACGCATGATCGCGAAAAAAGTTGTTGAGGAGTTTCAACAGGATGAGCGATC